AGAATGACCTAGATGACCAATGGTCGTCAATTGTCTGCTACTTGGAAGGAGTTCATGGATCAACTTCACGTTCCTGATGACGGGCTTCACACTCCCATTGGTGTTCGCCCCCACGCCAACTCTGAGTCTGCTAACAAGAACTTGCTCCAGCCGTACTATGTTGAGAAGGTGCTTCCCAGTGGCAAGTCGACTTGGGTGCTAAACTCTTTTCTGGATATCATGCATCACATCTTCCGCAACACTCTGTTTCCACGCATTGGCGACAAGGACAAGGTTCATTCCTATCTGGTGGACATGATGCTCCTGTGCGCGGAGGCACGTTCGTCTCAGACTCAGCCACTTGATGTCTCACACATCATGTGGTGTGAGCTTCGGTTTGCGGTATTCACCCGCAAGGTACCTATCTATGGACCGTACATGTTTCTGTTGATCTCCACGACTTGAGAGAAGATGTACCCTGGTGATGAGTTCCTTGCTCCAGACTGGATTCGGCATGAGTCTATCAGTCTCCGCGTCAAGCCCAACTGGGCCAACACTACTACCCGTGCTGAGGCGTCTGCTGCTAGGAGGGTTGTTGGTGAGGAGGAGGCTGGTGCAGAGACTGCTGCTGAGGACCGTGCTGCTAGGCCTTCCTCACCTTCCTCTGAGCCGTCGTGGGCCAAGAAGTTGAAGGACAAGATGAAGACTCTCTTCTGCATGCAGGCGAAGGGGCAGTACAGGAATCACGTGGCATCCAAGGAGAGTCGCCGCCGCAACAAGAAGGTCATGAGACTCTTTGGAGAGGATGTCTCTGGTGGTTCTGAGGATGCCATCACGCCAGAGGCTGCATGGATGACGAAGCAAGGTTACAAGTGGACTAGCTCTGAGGAGGACATCGAGGAGACCGTCCCTGCCGCTGAGTCTGACGAGGAGCACGAGGAGTAGTGGGATGATTTCTCTGCCTGAGCCACCCCTTGTGTGTAGGTGTCCTCTCTGCCTTTTTGGCGTCTCGATGCCAAAGGGGGAGAGAGTGTAGGGATTTACGTGTTTGTGAGTCATGTGTCGTGTTTGGTGTGTTTGCTTTGTTGTTTGGACCTCGTTTGCTTTTGTTTGGTTTGTGCCTTTGAGACTTATCCTTCATATGGTGTAAGACATATGCACTCTATTCTATCTTAGTTAACTTATGTTGGTGCTATCTTGTCTAGTGTTAACCTTACTTTTGTAAGATATGCCTTGTCTCTATAATATAGGGGGAGCTTTAATCCTAGTATGTGTGACGTGCAGTCCAAAGCACCAATCTAGTTGGCACACATCTAGGGGGAGCCCGTCTATATTCTAGAGAGGAGGGGTTTGTGTTTGCTTAATATTATTTCCCTTGTGCAAATCCCGTATTGTCATCAATCCACAAAAAGGGGAAGATTGTAAGGGCATATTTATCCCTAAGGTGTTTTGGTGATTGATGACAATGCGTTTGCGGACTAACCGTGTGCCTTGAGTATCCCAGACGTTTCATCGCTAGGCACAAGACGGTTTGGTGCCCCTCAAAGACTGTTGAAGACGGCGTCTTTTCTACGTTTCTTTTTGGTGGATTTGAGTCGTAGGAAAGCCGTACTATTAAGAGGGGGTCCGCGTCGGAAAGGTTTGGATGGAATCATCACGCACACGTTTTCTTCCTTGTCCCCTCCTTTCCCCTGCACTTTGGAGCATCCTCCGTTGATCCTCTTTTCCCCTGTCCTGACTGCTGTTGGTGGGCTTGCGGTAGTACTGCTCATTGTTGAGCGGTAGTACCACAGGCACCCGCGGTAGTACCGCACTTCGGCGCGGTAGTACCGCTGGTGCCCACGGTAGTACCGCTCCTCTGGAGCCGCAGTACCATGGCCCCCAGGCCAAGTACCGCTCCTTCGTGGTAGTAGGGGCGGATGTAATGTTTTACATCCGCGCCACTGCGGTAGTACCGCATTCCTTGCGCGGTAGTACCGTGCGCGGCCTGGATCAGCTGCCAGGCGGTAGTACCGCTCCTCTGCGGTAGTACTGTGTCAAGTTTTTTCTTCTTCCGTTTACCAGCGGAAGTAGGCACGGATATACCTTTATCCGCGCTCTTCCCAAGCTAGGGGTTTCCTGCCTTGCGGTAGTACCGCAAGAGGGAGCGGTAGTACCGCGCCCGCAGCAGTACCGCCCTCAGCTCTTGTGCTATAGGTCTGCCCTAGCTGCTGCTGGTGCTGCGGTAGTACCGCGGGCCTGCACGGTAGTACCGCGTGGCCTTGCGGTAGTACTGCTTGTCAGCAAGCGGAAGTACTGTGTGGACCTGCGGTAGTACCGCTGGTCTGGTGCGGTAGTACCGCTGGTCGCGGGCTGGTAGGTGGATAACGGTTGGATCTTTGTCCTAAGCTATAAAAGGTGTGTCTTCTTCCTCGAGTTGACTACCTCTTCCAACCCTAAGCTCTATTGTTGCTCTAAGCTCCATTTTCGTCCGATCTCACTCCCTAGCCAATCAAACTTGTTGATTTGCTCGAGAGTGGTTGAGAAGGCCCCGATCTACACTTCCACCAAGAGAAAATTGATTCCCCCACTAATCCCTTGCGGATCTTGTTACTCTTGGGTGTTTGAGCACCCTAGACAGTTGAGGTCACCGCGGAGCCATAGTCCATTGTGGTGAAGCTTCGTGGTGTCGTTGGGAGCATCCAATTGAGTTGTGGAGATTGCCCCAACTTTATTTGTAAAGGTTCGGTCGCCGCCTCCAAGGGCACCAATAGTGGTATCACGGCATCTCGCATTGTGTGAGGGCGTGAGGAGATACGGTGGCCCTAGTGGCTTCTTGGGGAGCATTGTGCCTCCACACCGCTCCAACGGAGATGTACTTCCCTTCAAAGGGAAGGAACTTCGGTAACACATCCTCGTCTCCACCGGCCCCACTCTTGGTTATCTCGTGCCTTTACTTGAGCAAGCTTATTTGTGATATATCTCTTGCTTGCTTGTGTTTCAATCTTTGTTGCATCATATAGGTTGCTCACCTAGTTGCATATCTAGACAACCTACTTTGATGCAAAGTTTAAATTGTTAAAGAAAAGCTAAAAATTGTTAGTTGACTATTCACCCCCCTCTAGCCAACCATATCGATCCTTTCAAGCTCTCCATTAACCTTGATGGTGAATCTAACCGATGTCACATACTTCATAATTAGGCTAATAAAACGATCACCGAAGCCCAGCTTGGTCAACATAGCTTCGAGATAATGCCATTCCACACGATCGTATGCTTTGAGCATATCAAGTTTGATAGCACAGTTGTAGTTCTTGCCCTTCTTCCTTCTCCTGATAGCGTGGATACACTCATAGGCCACTAGAACGTTGTCCGTGATTAAGCGGCCTGGTACAAAAGCGCTTTGTTCTTTCCCAATGACATCATCAAGGATGAGACGAGCACAGTTGGCCACTGTCTTGATGGTGATTTTGTATAAGACGGGGCACAAGGCAATTGCCCTGTATTGTAAGATTCTATATGGATGATGGACTTTAGGGATCAGAATTATTGCCGTATCATTCAGTCCCAACGGTAGCTCCCCCCCATTCAAAAAACTCAGTATAGCCAAAGTTATATCTTCCCCAATGACATCACAGTGTCGTTGGTAAAAACCAGCAGTGAATCCATCAACGCCGGGCGCTTTGGATGGCGCCATATCGAACAATGCAGTTTTTACCTCGACTAGGGCTGGAATTCGAGCCGAGTCGAGCCAGCTCGGCTCAACTCGCTAGAGCTCGTTTCGTTAACGAGCTAGCTCGACTCGACTCGTTATTATAACGAGCTCAAATTCAAGATTGGCTCGACTCGTATAACTCGCGAGCTGGCTCATTTAGCTTGTTAAACTCGTTAAAGATATGAACATAAAACCCTCAAATATTATAAAAATGATTATGTCTATATTAAACATATATATCACCAACAATAGTAATTTCCTTATAACGCTTGAGTCTCCTAGGCGGTTGGGCTTTCAACGGCTAGGCCTTGTGTCGTGCGCCTAGGACATAGGGTGCTGAGTGGCTGATCTTTTTTTGTATTGGGAGTGGCTGCTCTTTAGTACCGAGCCTAACAAGTTACACGAGTACTTGTGAGATTGGCTCGTTTAACTTAGTCTATAAACGATCTTAAACTAAAGCTTGGCTCGACTCGTTATTCTTCGAGTTCGATTCGAGCCGAGTCACGAACTACTCGTTTAGCTCACGAATTTCGAGCTTATTTTCCAGCCCTAACCTCGACCGCTGTGTACTCCCTCTCGAGTGTATAATTCATGTCAGCGGTGACCCATGGTTGAACGCATTGTAGCAGCCCCTCCATCGGACTGTAACCTTGTGATTGGTACTCCCTCTGTAAACTAATATAAGAGTGTTTAGATAACTAAAATAGTAATCTAAACGCTCTTATATAGTTTACGGAGGGAGTACAATGCATGGCAGAAGTTAGTGATTTCCTCTTTTACCTGGGCTGGATCAGTGCTCGCGTGACCATCAGCCAGCTCCAATGAGGTGATACGGTTGGTCCTCTTGCGCTGCCTTGCTTGTGCCTGAAAATAACCAGTATTCGGATCGCCAGCATGTAGCCACAGCACACGAGACCTCTGTTTGAGCCAAATCTCCTCTTGCCGGAGGGCCTCCCTCAGTTGTGAGGCGACAGCCTTCTCTTCGTCGTTTGGACCGCGCCCTACCGCGTCCATAGCTTTTTCTCCATGTACGCATTGGCATTGCTATATATTCTGAACATACAACAAAAGATGAAAATAAAGGAGAATACTGCTGTAAATTTGCTCGTTCTATGCTTTCATTCCTGGGCTCCTCTCGAGATATTCATGCATGCATACCAATACCATGTAACAATGCCGACGTCGTCTGCCAAAAATGCAACAAAAATGCACGCCAGGAGCTCGCCGCGTTTTCCGGCATGATGTATTTTTCTCTTCTTAGAAAACAAAACGGCATAAATTTCAAGTCTAGTCGCAGATTCCATTTCATGCGGGCGCTGATTTTCAGTTATATCTCACCATCCCAGAGCTCGTCAATCGTTTTGTAAATACTCTGAGAGTGCACCAATGATTCGTTCCTTATTCGCTTAACCTGTTCACCACAAAGAACACATTCATTTTCTGCACTCACGGATAACTGAAAAAAAGGGCTCTGTACCTGTTCAATTTCAGAAAACTTGGCACACAGTTCTTCAGGAATGGACCAGCCAAACAGGTCAATGTTCTCCTTCAACCTCGACTCATTGACACTTTTAGGAAGCACGCTCTGACCCTGCTGGATACCCCATCGCAGAGCGATCTGTGCTGGGGTTCTCCCCAAGCTCTCGGCTACCGATGCCACCACCGGGTTATCCGCCACGACTTTCATCCTGCCTAGCGGCGCATACGCCTGCAGAAAGAAGAACATGAGCAAATTGCCAGGAAATTTCACATGCCAAAGCTTAATGTATCGTCTGAACTCCTCACAGAGAAATGAACTCCATTGGTGTGGCAGAAGGCTCTGAGCTTGGTCTGCTGCCAACCAGGGTGGCACTCCACCTGATCAACAGCCGGAGGAACACGGGCCACAGCGAGCAGATCGGCCAACTTCTTGGTCGAAAAATTGCTTACCCCTACTGCGCGGGCCTTGCCTGAATCGTACAGCTTCTCCATTGCCCGCCAGGTCTCGGGCATATCGAGCTCGACAAAGTTTTCCGGGCTCAACTCGCTGCCTTTCTTTATCTGAAAGGGCCAGTGAATCTACCAAGATCACAAAGTTAGTAGTGTCAAAAGAAAGGGCAGGCTTACTTTGCCTGCAGTGCACGGATTCAAGCCAAGTTACCAGGTGCAGGTCAAGATAATCCAGCTGCAGATCATTCAGAGTGCGGTCGACTGCCGACGGAACGTCTTCGGGTGCGAGATCGCTGCACCTGCATAGCTTGATTCTCCGGGTGTTACAAGATTGATGGGCATGAAAAAACATTAACAGCTGTAAGACTGGTACCATATCTTTGAAGTGATGAAAAGGTCTTGTCGTTTGACGACGCCGTCATCAAAGAGCTTGTTCAGGGCAGCGCCAATCTAACCACATTAAGGGCAACACTGATTCTACGCCGACCAAAATGTCACCGGGTGCGATTGTGACTTGAAGACACTGATTGCAGGATAGATTAGGACTAGCATTACCTCCTTCTCGTTCTTGTATAGTGGTGCGCAGTCGATGTGCCGGTACCCGGCCTGCCATGGCAAGCAAGCAAGCAAGCAAGCAAGCAAGCAAGCAGAGTCAAGGTCCGGGCTCAAGCAGCACACACAAAGCATACTCCTGAGCAAACCAAACGGGACAGCAAGTGTTTTGGTTTTTTACCTTGATGGCGGCCGTGACCGCGCCGGCGACGACGCCAGGGTCGGACTTGTAGGTGCCGAGGCCTACCGAGGGGATGCGTGCCCCGGTGTTGAGCGTGAAGTGGGTGGCCATCTTCTTCCTCCTTTTCTCCCCGCCTCTCTCCTCTTCGTCGCTCTCCCCGGTATACATTTTTTTAGGCAAGTTTGGAATTATATGGGAAGGAACGCGACGGAAACTGAGCTGCCACGGACTGACATGTCCCGGTCAGTCCAGCGCTCGGGCCCAGCCTCCTGTATATACGCCCGTTTGATTCACGGTCTGGAAGAGCCGGCTCGCCAACATGCATCATGCAACAATTGCGTGGGTTGGTCCAGTACGGCGTTTTTTCAGACGTGTGATTTTCCCCTTCTATTGGTTTACCTATGGTTTTTATATAGTACTCCCTCTGATCCTTATTAATTATCGTTTTAGCACAAGTTTGTACAACTAATATGGATACGAGGCAGTACTGTTTTTTTTTCGTTTTTTCTATTTGGTTTTTTATTTCTGTTCCTGGTTTTTCCTCATCATCAGTTTTCATTTCTTCATTCTCTTCCAAATATAATAAACATTATTTGACAAATACATGAATATTTTTAAAATTTGAGAATCTTAAAAATCAATTAAACATTTTCCAAGATACACGAACACTTTTTACCTTACACAAACATTTTTAAAAGGCACAAAACTCTAAAATTATTAGGCTTTCTAAAATTACATGCATACTTTTTAATTAGACCATCGTTTAGAAAAATGTGTGGATACATGGCTTTTTGAAGTGTGAATAGTTTTTAATTACATGAAAATTGCAATTATATATGTTTGCAAAATTAAGAGATGCATAATTCATCTATTTATCATCGCAGAGAGTAATATTATGTTACACAGTAGTTTGGCGTCGATGATTTAAGTCTTTTGGCTTGTATTTGCTGCATATTTAGGTTATGTTATATGCCACTTTGTTCTCATGCATCTTATGATCATGTTTCTATGTTGGTAGTTTCAGGTTTCAATGACTCATGATTGAATATGGTCTCTACTTGGTTATGCTTTTTTGTGTAACATATATTGTCATCATGTCTCAAGTATTGTTGTGTCTTGGCATGGAGTGCACCTCTATCTCCTTTACTATTGAAAGGAAGGACCGTTTGTTCACCTTTTAAATATGACCCCCCTCTCCATGCTAGCTCCTCTAATCAACACACAACACCAATATGTGGAGTGGACCCTACCGCACATCTCCACACCTTTTCTTTTTGGATATGCACCCATAGAAAACTCATAGAATAGATAGAGAGAGAGAGAGAGAAACTCTAAGAAAAATTCCCCAATTTCTGCTCCAAACCGAAACTAAAGTGGTTTCCCTGAAATTCACCAAAACTCTAAGATTGTATGGAAAACTCTCTTAATATAATGGGCCATGTCTCCGCATTACGCATCTGTCTTGGCGGGGTAAGGCTAAGCACCTTATGTGGCACCACCGGGATCCGGCGAGGACATGTCTTACGTGCACATTCCGTCAAATATGACACCAACGTCGCGTGGATCTTCCATATGTATAATTTTTGAAGTTTCATGCCCATTTATTTTATCAAAATAAGCAATGTTTTAATTTTATTTGGACTAACCTACTGCAAATTGGCAGATTGGGAAAGTTGTGTGTTTTTGTGTCATTATATTCTATCTACACATCATATGATTAGAAGTCCAACTATGACCTATATCGTACAAGTGATTCAACACATATTCAACAAACAACTTGGAACATTTGCATCGAACATGGGTGATGACCCACAAGTATAGGGGATCTATCGTAGTCCTTTCGATAAGTAAGAGTGTCGAACCCAACGAGGAGCAGAAGGAAATGATAAGCGGTTTTCAGCAAAGTATTCTCTGCAAGCACTGAAATAATAGGTGACAGATAGTTTTGTGATAGGATAATTTGTAACGAGTAACAAGTAACAAGTAACAAAAGTAAATAAAGTGCAGCAAGGTGGTCCAATCCTTTTTGTAGTAAAGGACAAGCCTGGACAAACTCTTATATGATGTAAAGCGCTCTCGAGGACACATGGGAATATCGTCAAGCCAGTTTTCATCACGATCATATGATTCGCGTTCGGTACTTTGATAATTTGGTATGTGGGTGGACCGGTGCTTGGATACTGTCCTTACTTGGACAAGCATCCCACTTATGATTAACCTCTATTGCAAGCATCTGCAACTACAACAAAAGTATTAAGGTAAACCTAACCATAGCATGAAACATATGGGTCCAAATCAGCCCCTTACGAAGCAACGCATAAACTAGGGTTTAACCTTCTGTCACTCTAGCAACCCATCATCTACTTATCACTTCCCAATGCCTTCCTCTAGGCCCAAATAATGGTGAAGTGTCATGTAGTCGACGTTCACATAACACCACTAGAGGAGAGACAACATACATCTCAGCAAAATATCGAACGAATACCAAATTCACATGACTACTAATAGCAAGACTTCTCCCATGTCCCCAGGAACAAACGTAACTACTCACAAAGCATATTCATGTTCATAATCAGAGGGGTATTAATATGCATATAGGATCTGAACATATTATATTCCACCAAATAAACCAACTAGCATCAACTACAAGGAGTAATTAATACTACTAGCAACCCACAGGTACCAATCCCAAACTTGGAGACAAGAATTGGATACAAGAGATGAACTAGAGTTTTGAGAGGAGATGGTGCTGGTGAAGATGTTGATGGAGATTGCCCTCTCCCTATGAGAGGAGTGTTGGTGATGACGATGGCGATGATTTCCCCCTCCCGGAGGGAAGTTTCCCCGGCAGAACAGCTCCGCCAGAGCCCTAGATTGGTTCCGCCAAGGTTCTGCCTCGTGGCGGCGGAGTCTCCTCTGAAAAAATGGCTTATGATTTTTACCTCATCGAAAGACTCCATATAGCAGAAGATGGCCATCGGAGGGCCACCAGGTGGCCCACGAGGTAGGGGGCACGCCCAGGAGGGTAGGGCGTGCCCCCACCCTCGTGGGCAGGGTGTGCCCCCCTGGTGAACTTCTTGTGCTCGGTATTTTTTATATATTCTAAAAACGTCTTTCGTGAAGTTTCACGACTTTTGGAGCTGTGCAGAATAGGTCTCTAATATTTGCTCCTTTTCCAGCCCAGAATCCCAGCTGCCGGCATTCTCCCTCTTTATGTAAACCTTGTAAAATAAGAGAGAATAGGCATAAGTATTGTGACATAATGTGTAATAACAGCCCATAATGCAATAAATATCGATATAAAAGCATGATGCAAAATGGACGTATCAACTCCCCCAAGCTTAGACCTCGCTTCTCCCCAAGCGAAAGCCGAAATCGAAAAATATGTCCACATGTTTAGAGATAGAGGTGTCGATAAAATAAAATACGGACATGAGGGCATCATGATCATTCTTAGAACAACAACTTATAGAATTCTTGTCATATAATCTCTTATGCTAGAGTAACAATTCAATCACAATTTCAAGTATGAATCATAAACTTCATTGACAACTAACAAATTATAATCTCGGTCATTGGAGCAATTGAAATTTATCATAACATAGGAAAGAGTCAATGTAACAGCTTTTCAGCAAGTCCACACACTCAACTATCATATAGTCTTTCACAATTGCTGACACTCACGCAACACTTACGGGTATGGAGTTTTAATCAGACACAGAGAAATATAGGGGCTTATAGTTTTGCCTCCCAACGTTTCACCTCAAGGGTAATGTCAACAATAATAGTTCATGAAAACTCACATCCAATTAGCCATATATACTAGGATCTTTCCAACATATTGTGCTTGCCAAAGGATAAAATGTAAAAAGGAAGGGTGAAGATCACCATGACTCTTATGCAAGGTAGGAGATAAAAGTAAAAAGATAGGCCCTTCGCAGAGGGAAGCAGAGGTTGTCATGCGCTTTTATGGTTGGATGCACGAAATCTTAATGCGAAAGAACGTCACTTTATATTGCCACTTGTGATATGGACCTTTATTATGCAGTCTGTCGCTTTTATTTCTTCCATATCACACGATCGTATAAAGCTTATTTTCTCCCACACTAATAAGTCATACATATTTAGAGAGAAATTTTTATTGCTTGCACCGATGACAACTTACTTGGAGGATCTTACTCAATCCATAGGTAGGTATGGTGGACTCTCATGGAAAAACTGGTTTAACGATATTTGGAAGCACAAGTAGTATCTCTACTTGGTGTGATGAATTTGGCTATCATGAGGGGAAAGGCAAGCTCAACCATGTTGGATGATCCATGACAATATAATTTATCTCAGATGTAAGAAACAATAACCCATTGATAACCCACAAGTATAGGGGATCGCAACAGCTTTCGAGGGTAGAGTATTCAACCCAAATTTATTGATTCGACACAAGGGGAGCCAAAGAATATTCTCAAGTATTACCTGCTGAGTTGTCAATTCAACCACACCTGGAAACTTAGTATCTGCAGCAAAGTGTTTAGTAGCAAAGTAATATGATAGTGGTGGTAACGGTAACAAAAAAGTGACGAAAGCAAAGTAATGTTTTTGGTATTTTGTAGTGATTGTAACAATAGCAACGGGAAAGTAAATAAGCGTAAACCAGTATATGGAAAGCTCGTAGGCATCAGATCGGTAATGGATAATTATGCCGGATGCGGTTCATCATGTAACAGTCATAACATAGGGTGACACAGAACTAGCTCCAGTTCATCAATGTAATGTAGGCACGTATTTCGAATATAGTCATACATGCTTATGGAAAAGAACTTGCATGACATCTTTTGTCCTACCCTCCCATGGCAGCGGGGTCCTTACGGAAACTAAGGGATATTAAGGCCTCCTTTTAATAGAGAATCGGAACAAAGCATTAACACATAGTGAATGCATGAACTCCTCAAACTACGGTCATCACCGGTAAGTATCCCGATTATTGTCACTTCGGGGTTAACGGATCATAACACATAATAGGTGACTATGGACTTGCAAGATAGGATCAAGAACTCTCATATATTGGTTGAAAACATAATAGGTTCAGATCTGAAATCATGGCACTCGGGCCCTAGTGACAAGCATTAAGCATAGCAAAGTCATAGCAACATCAATCTCAGAACATAGTGGAT